CTCGACATCGTTTCGACAGTGGACCCAATAAAACCGTTCTCGGATCTTCAGTAGAGTTCGTTTAACTCCCAGATGGCCTCCGGAACAATCATTATGGTACAGCTGTAGAACATCCGGTACTTTAGCTTTAGGGACAACCATTTGCAAGTGACAGCTGTCTCCCCGAACATTTTCCCATTTACGGCACAGAACTCCATCCTGAAGCAGCAAGCTGTCCCACTGGGCCCAATAGCTTTTAGTGGTCGAACTCACCGCTGAGACGTCGCTCCACTTGGGCTTGGGAGCACTGGCCTTCATCCATTCCAGAATCGGCATGATGTCCGGATCTTCCTGCTGTGCATGTAGTAAGCTGTCCTTCCACTCGTTGCTGAGGTGGTCTGTCCTGAGCATCCTCACGGATACCACTTCCTTACACTCCTGCCTAGTACAATGTTTGCAATCTTCAAGACAAGGTCTTCGTGACAATGCATCTGCGTTGCCATGAGATTTCCCGCTGCGATGTTCGATCTCAAAGTCGTATTCTTGCAGTAGTTCAATCCACCTCGCAACTTGTCCTTCTGGATTTTTAAACTGCAATAGCCATTTTAGTGCAGCATGGTCAGTTCTTAAGCGAAATTTTCGTCCCAGAAGATATTTGCTAAAATGCTGCAACGACTTTACTACAGCTAGCAATTCGCGTCTTGTGACACAATAGTTCCTTTCCGGTTTTGACAACGACTTGCTGAAGTACGCTATCACGACCTCTTGGTCACCATTCAGTTGAGACAACACACCGCCAAGTCCTATATCACTTGCGTCTGTGTCAACTATAAATTCTTTGCTTGCATCAGGGTATCCTAAAATAGGTGTTTTGCACAGACGGTCCTTGAGCTCCTGGAATGCGATATTGCAACTTTCATCCCAGCAGAAATGTCGCTTCTCCTCGGTTAGCTTGTGCAGAGGTTTGGCTATATCTGCAAAGTTCTTCACAAACCCAAAAATGCTCTAACCTGCGTCTTGTCTTTTGGAATCGGCCAATCTTTGACAGCGGCGATTTTCTCTGGATCTGTGCGGATACCTTCTTCCTATACTACATACCCCAAAAAGTTAACTTGCCGTTTGAATAGTGAACATTTCTTCGGACTCAACTTGAGGTTGGCACTCTGAATCTTCATGAGCACGCGTTCCAGGTTTTGAAGATGTTCCTCAAACGTTCGGCCTACGATGATGATGTCATCAAAGTAGACCAGACAGGCATCGCCAATTAGCCCGGTGAGTACAAGTTCCATCAGCCTTTCAAACGTTGCTGGAGCATTGCACAACCCAAACGGCATTACTTTAAATTGCCACTGACCCTTTCCCGTCGAGAACGCAGTTTTCTCTTTGTCCTTAGGGTCAATTTCAACTTACCAGTAGCCATTTTTTAGATCCAGCGTGCTAAACCACTTTACTTCTGTAAGCATGTCCAGCGTGTCATCAATTCTTGGCAAGGGATATAGCTGTCCTTCTTTGTAACGTCGTTCAGACGGCGGTAATCAACACAGAACCGCATGCTTCCATCCTTCTTCTTTACCAGCACCACGGGTGAACACCATGGACTAGATGAAGGTTCAATAACACTATCCTTCACCATTCCCTCAATCATGGTTTCCACTTCCTTTTCACGTGCTACCGGCAATCTTCTTGGCCGCTGACGGATAAGCAATTCTTTTCCTGTGTTTATTTTTTGTTGAACTAAGCCAGTCTTTCCCATGTCAGCATCGTTTGATGACAATACATCGGCGTACTTGAGTAACAACTTCTTCGCCTTGACCAATTCGTTCAGGGAGAGAACACTGCGACATTCTTCCAAAAGTGTGATCACTCTCATTTCTGAATCCTTGCTGAGGGTCCCACTCGATATATATTGGCACCGACGTAACCAATCCACTTCCTCACAAGTACCAACCAGTGTGCCTTTTTCTATAATCTGTTCCCGGTCACAAAGGTTCAGCACACGTACTCCTGAGATGTCAGTGGTCCTGATCAAGGTTCGAGCTACTTTCCATGGAAGGTCATTGTTTACCCTTTCCACAAGTACACAACGGTGAGGTTGCCCATCATTTCGAGGAAGACTAACCGGAACAATCGTTTCCGATCTCGGCGGAAGAACAATCTTCTTAATGCTGTACACGTTCCCTGGTAACGCACCTTCCATAAAAAGTTCCTCCTGTCCACATTTCAAAACACCTTACTTAACGTCGATCTCACAACAATTATTCCTCATAAAGTCTAGGCCAAGGATGCAGTCGTCCATTATATCAGCCACGATGACATTATGCAGATAGGTCACGTTGCCTAGCTTCAACTCCATCTCCTTCTCTCCACGGACGGGTATACGCTGACCGGTGGCTGTTACCAAATTAATGCGTTCTCGGTTGTATGCGGAGTCCCCAAGGAACTGACTTATAAGTTGGGAACTAACAACCGTACGAGAGGCTCCAGTGTCTATGGTCAGTTTACACGGCATTCCGTTGACCTCGCCCTTGATGATTAGACTGTTCCCATCATGGGTTTGTGAGATCGAGATCCTTGGGGCTCTTTTAACATCAGCCAGCACCCGCCCCGCAGTTCTGGCTTTTACTCGTTTCCCTGCTGCTGCTGGGCGATGCTGTTGGCCGCACTACCCTCCTGAGTTCGTTCACCTTCCCTTTCTAGGGTTCGCTTAGGGCAGCTGGATCGAAGATGGCCCCTTCCCCCACAGCCATAGCACCTAGGGCTGTATACTTTGTTGCGGTCGTGTACTGTAGCTGCTGCAACCTCCCTAATGCGATGGGAACGATGATCCTGCCGCACGGTTTCCACCTCCAGTGCATGGGCCAAGGCGTCTTTAAGCGTCTCGTGGTGCCCGAGCCTCACAGCAGCTCTGACTTCCAGATCGCGGATGCCGTCGATGAATGTCTGCACCAGGTTCTCTTCAATGAGCGCAGGTACAGACTGGTATGCTTTTCGCACCAGCTTCTCCACCTCTAGAGCCCACTGCTGCAGGTTTTGATTGCTGCGTTGCACGCGATCTCTAAGCTGCGCTCGAAAGACGTGTTCCAGGTGAGCGTCGCCATATCTAGCCTCCAATGCCTCAAGGAGCTGCTCTTAAGTCACTTCTTTACCGAGAGCTTCTAGAACATTTAAGGCCCGATCGCGCAAACCTAGTGTGAGAGCAGTCATGGCCTGACTTTTATTCCAGCCGTTTGCCTTCATAACAGCCTCGAACTGGATTTTGTAAGCCGCCCAGGAAGAAGTCCCGTCGAACGGCGGCACTTTGAATCCACGTACTGAAGATGTTGTAGCTACTACGGGAGGTGTAGTTCCATCCCCCAGTTTGAGATCGTCCAGCGTTTTCTTCACATCAGCCACGACGTTGTCTACCCGATCGTTCACTTGGTCGATTTGAGTTTTAGCTTCCTTGATTTGGGTTTCAGCCTTCGCGATTTGGGTTTCAGCTTCCGACAGGCGGTTGTCATGCTGAGCAACCCTATCCTTAACCTCCTTTATCTCCTTCCTGAAGGTAGCGTGAAGATCCTTCATGAGGAGCATTTGCTCTTCCAACCGACGGGCCTGTTCCTCTTGTCCACCCCGCAGCTGATCTTCCAAACGACGGACCTGTTCTTCTTGTCCGCCCCGCAGCTGCTCTTCCAAACGACGAACCTGTTCCTCCTGTCGGCGAGCCTGTTTCTCCTGTCGGCGAGCCTGCTCCTGCAGCATCACCATCAGAGCACCTAAGTCAGGTGCTGCAGATGTAGGGGCTACTGACGGGCCTGCAGCCGGCGGCTGGCCCTCCGACGTCTGCGGCGTTGCACCACCAAATCTTTTTTGGTCCGTCTCCTGCTGGCGTTGACTTCGGGTACGGACACCCTCCGTTTCCTCCTTAGGTAAAATCGGCATGATTTTATCCCACTTCTGACACCAATTGTTACGAGCTTGAGGTTCGTGACAATAAAAAATTGCCGATAGAATTACCTAAATTAACACTTTAATTCACTTTACACTAATTAAAGTTAAAAACACTAATAATTAATCACACTGATTCACTTTATTCCGCTCCGAAGCTTCGCTTGTCTCGCCAACTTCAATACTTCCCCGATCGCGTATTGCAGCGCCTTTATGTAGGGCTCTTCCTCGAAAACATCCAGAATATTCCAGAATATTCGAGTAAATACGCGCGCCAATCGACCAAGCGCAGAAAGATCGAGTGTAGAGCTTCTAGAAAGTTTAGTTCTTCAATTTGATACTAGATGGCGCTGTCGGTAAAAAATTTGTCATATCATTTTCTGGAAAGCTCTCTCCTCGCTCTGTTACCCGACACTAGATGGCGCTAGCGCCATGAGATGATATGTCAACTTAGCAGCGCAACAATACGTAATAAGATTTTGTATTTTGTAAATAAAAATTGTAACAAAATTAGGTGTGTTTTATTGATGATTCAGATTAGCGTTGTAGATAGGAACAAAGAAGTATAATACAATAGCACTGATAAGCAGACGCACACACCGAGGATGTATAGACAATGACAATACATAAGAACAATGGGACGCTAACGACGGTGAAGGGCCTCACCGGATATGAATTAGATATTAGTTAATTTTGATCTGCACATCTCCGGAGCCGTGCATCCTACGCAAAAACGGACCGCAGATTCGTGATCAGAGCATGTCAAAACCTTTTTTTTTAGGATCGTAAGTCGGCGAACGTTGTACCACTTCCGACTCAGTGAGCCAGAACTGGTACAACGTAACTACTAGCCTCTACGCGACGAGAGGCACGCGAGACGAGAAGACGAACGTGTACAGCCGCCATTACAATATCGCAATTACAAAACTGCCAATTCGCGAAATAGTTATACCTACAATTTCACACACTTAGAAGTTAGAGAAATCACCTTTTTTTATTTAGGTTGTTAGTTTATTATATTTTCTTTAAGCTATATTTACTAGCTACTTTTTGGCAATTAGATTTTTACTGAGACGAACAAATTTTTTTTTAGCATGACTCGAGTTACGGAACAGCAAATATCCACAGAAAATATTCCTTTTATTTCCGTTCGAACACAACCAAAAAAGAGTAAGTTAATTGAACACTTTAAAAGAAAAATAAGATAAAACTTTTTGTGTTAAGTGATGTCTAATAGTTCTTTTGTGAATATAGGAAAGAATACTTAATTATTTTTAAGCTACTTTATCATAGTATTTACATGATATACGAGTTAACAGTTCACCCGATGGTAAGTAGCTACTGCAGTGGAAGGACTACCAATGTCCTTACAACGCGCTACCAAGTTCAAAAAAGAAAGGCCATAAATGCGTGGTTACTCCTAAATACTAAGATAAAATAACTCAGAGACAGTTTTGATACTGTCTTTGAACCGGAACACATCTGCGAATCTCTGCCTCGTGATAAAAGTTTGGTGGTCCCAAAGAAAAGACTAATTAGCAGAAAAGGACCACTTACATCCAGTAAAGCTTCACTAGAGTTTTTTTAGTATTAAAATTGCACTAGCCCTGTATGTTACAGAGGTGTCTCAACAGGCTGCGAGGTTGCGGCGCCTGGAAATGCCTGCAAATCCAACGCGAGGTTATGTAGACCCCGCTACATTAGAGCAGCATAAAATGATTAGCCAGGTGGGTATTTATGAAGATTGAGTGGTTAAAGACATCTTTTCACATGGACACGGACTCGACACGGTTATGTACTTAACGGTGCGATCGGCAACACTTAAAGCAAGACGTATGAATTATTTTATTACTATTGGACTGTTTACGCAGTTGGGAAATTATATAGTTTTAATAAATACCCGTTTTGTTACATGTCAGCTAATGCATTAATGGTTATTTTTTATGAATCAGATTTTCTTACCTAGAAGCCTACTAAGCACACGGATTGCTTATGGCGCCGTTAATGACAGAAGTAATGTTTTGACAGTGGTTTTATGTCAAAATAAAAACAAACTATGACTTGATGTTGTTTTATGATTTCAGCACCTTCGTCAAATATAAAAAAAATTACTTTTAACGGCATTTCTGACATTTTTGATTTTTTTAAATTGTCCAATGTACCTTGTGATACTAACAGTCGAATGGCTGGCTCCAAACCTGATTATGAAGTGCTGTGCATCATGAAAGTTCCAATACTAAGCCGTACTAATGTATTCAGTGATCTGTAACTACGTAGAAACCGTATTTGTGGACAATAATAAATCACGCCTGGCTCTCGCAAGCATATTCAAAACATAGCGATCGTACTCATGACCGTGACCATATGAAATGGGCGTTATTGTATTGTCATATTTCGGTTATTGTTTATTTTATGACATGAAATTCGAATTTCTTCGCCTTCTTTCTTAAGTGTCAAGGTCGAGCTTGATTAATAATTTTAATTTATTCAATAGAAATCAGGTTATAATATATTGACTGTGTTTTGCAGAAAAAGCGCTAGCAAGCGCTTGTAAGCAAAATGGCGATCGTAAGCGATAAGCGTAATCGTAAGTAGCTATTTTCCTCTAGGACACGAAGTTAGTTTTAACCGCGGAACCTAACCTAATTTTAAATATATGTTTGTAAAGTATTCATATTAAAAACTTACCAATCATGAATTTTTCATAACATGTATAATATGTTTATTCATGTCATTATATTACTTAAAACTAATATTGCAAAAAACAACTTATAAACTCTACTTCTAAACAAACAAATTAAATAAGCAAAATGGCGGATTGTGTCAGCGCTACTGAAGTTAGCAAACGTGTCCTGGCCGAAAACTGTTTATTTTCGCCATATTGCTTACAAGCGCTATCGAGCGCTTTTTTCTGCCAAACGAAGCCAATATATATATATATATATATATATATATATATATATATATATATATATATATATAAATACTAATACTACTAATAATATATACTAATTTCTATTGAATATGTATTGGAAGTTTTCATGTTTAACTAAAGAAATATATTACGGAAGCAAATAAGCAAGACAATATTAACTATGATTCATTGTCTTCCCTATTTGCATTTTTCTCTTAAAAATTTTATATTTTAAAACGCGTGTTATTGCTGTAATTGTTGCAATTGTAACAGGAAATTTTTCGATGATGATGATTCGAATAAAGACGTACCTTAAAAAAATAATAACCGACTTTATTTATAAAAGCGTCTGTTTCAATTACCATATAACACCTATATTATGGAATAAACCATAATATACCTATATTATGGTTTCACTAATTTTTATATTAAAATATTACGATCAGTTAAAAACTGTAGGTATTATTTTTCTAGGCACTATGCATTTACGAAAAACCTACTATATTAAAACTTATTTTAATTTTATTTTTAAAATAGACCGCCGAAATGAATGCGCAGCGTAGAAATAATATACCAAGAACTGTACGTAGTGGCCGAGCTGATGGTGATGGTAAGTATTTTTGATTATTAGACGTTGACTGCTTGTTTATATATTTTATGTAATCTTAGATATTTCATCACTATCATCATCTTCCTCATGATCTTAACAGAGCCTAACGCCGAACATAAGTCCAAGGAACACTACAAAACACGGTGCCATTTCAGCTTACTGATGCGTTTGGCTATGTAGATCATTCTCGTTCCACTGTGGATATCTTCTCTACGAATTCTATCACGCAGAGAAACTTCTGAAATAGCCCTCGCCATATCTCGCTGAACGACCTTGAGCTTCTTCATGCAGCCAGCAGTGAAGGGCCACGTCTCAGATCCATATGTCGTTTACTGCTAACATGTCCTTTTGGGTCACTCACTTTTGTTTTCAAGTTTTGAGGTAGATGACATGACAAGACGATGTGTCATGTTCCGAACGCTGCCCAGCCGAGTTAGATCCGCCGTTATACAAAGTTGGCCTTAATTGTACAATTTATCGAAGGTAATACTTGTCAACAACTTCGACCGTAGTGCCCCTAGCAACTCCCGGCATAAGGCGTAACATGTATGTTATACATGTTCGGCGTTTCATCCATTGTCATCCTAATGGACCATTTATATTCTCGCCAAGAAGTCCCGAGAACCCGTAGACTGTATTCTGTCAATGTCGTTCATACTGTATATGTACGAGAACACAAGTGAGGGCATTGTATTTTTGTACGTGGTAGAGCCATGCTGCAGCCATATTGTGGTTGCAGCACGAATGGTTCGGCTCGACCGAGGTAGGACCAAGCTCTCACAGAATACCAGCGTAAAATAGCAGCTTATGCTGCTGTGTTTCGTATGGCGAGTGTAGAGAACCGGAGACTCTTTTTATTGGAAACGAGGCATTCCATTTCAGTCCACTGAGGTGACAACGCTTCTGCATTTTGATTGTTAATTAAAGATAAATGTAGATGTCCATGGGCCATAGCATCCACTTACCATCAGGTAGTCCGTGTGCACGTTTGTCAACCTTATTCTATAAAAAACAATGTGTAATTCTAGTAACGCAATTAAAATTACTAACACTCCCGTTCACCACTTCAAGTAAGTTTCAAGTGCTTGACTACTACTTTCCGAGTAAGCAGTCCGCAGCCCTAACTGCCGGTTTCTGTCGAAAGGCTAGTTTATCGATATCGAATGGTACAGTACTAAGAGGTGAAGCATTTATAGACAATCGGCAACATTTTTGCATAAACCAGTAATTACACACGCAAAATTTGTTTCGTCAGCAGCCCGATTCCGATTTGTTTATCTAAAAGAAATAAGCTCAATATTTTTTATGGTCTATATAGTCTTTGCCGTTGTAAAGTACTATTAAGTAGAGATATACTTGAGCGTAGTGCTGAGGTCTTACAGTGAATCTGTCTGTATGCATATGTGCATAATCTTCCTCAACTTGGCAAACGGTTTCTAAACTGCAGTTTTTTATTATTTTTACTTGGTATCAGGAAAATGCCGCCTCCCATCCTCTGTTTCAGTTTCCCTCCACTACCCATTACAACACTGACAGTGATAATATAGGGTGGGAGATCTTTTACACTGCCACTACACGGTGACTTCTTTAATGAATGAGGGTTGTTAAATGTAATCAAGTTAAGAAGAAATACAAAACTTTAACAATAAACAACATTATTATTGAGGTCGTTTTATTAGTGGATTGTTTATAAATTATAATATATATCAAATGTGGACTGGTTTTTAAGGAACCTGCGGGCGAGGAGTTCAAATAACCACCCATGATAGAGATGGTCTCGAGGCGGCTTGTGGCGACGATGAACTCGATGTCTATTCCGACAACGGGCTGTATGATCAGAGAGGCGTGTACGTCAGATCTCATTACAAATAGATATACGTACTTATTCATCATCATCATCATCATTACAGCTATTCTCAAGTAATGCCATTATGCCTACATATTTATTGTTAACATGTTTTGCATATAATAATTATAGTGAAATCTACACTTAAAGTTATTATATCTTTATATACCTATATGTTACAGCTAAATTTTCAAACTACTTATATTTAATATTATGTTTTATAGGCTTCGGCCAAAAGTATTTTAGCTGAAATTCCGGGAAGTTCCCCGCTTACTTTATCAAATCGTTATCGTTATCAATATTAACTTATATCGAAAATATCAAGAAAAATATTTTTTGATCAGACTATTGTAAAATCAGTTCTCAGTGACCGTCTAATTTGTGAAATGAATAACTATACTAAATTTCAAGTCAATCGGGTGTATAGTTTTTAGAGATCTCGTGATGAGTCAGGCAGTCAATAGTATTTTCGGTTATATACATATATATTTATAAATACTCTTCACTCTACATGAAAAAATTCTTTTGAGTTTTTCATTAAACCAACAGTTCAAAAATGAAGAGTAAAAAATTAAATGATAGTCATATGCGGCCAATGCAAGGAAAGAGCGGTCAGCGCAGACATATCCAAAAGGACTCTTCAAGGGAAGGTAAATATTTTTTAAAGATATTTTAGTAATTTCTGTGATGAAAAAATACTCGTATTTTACAGAAACGCATAAAAGTTTAATTATGTAATATTATGGTTTCACGTTCGTGTCCGGTTTTGTCCCCATGACACTTGTTGTTTATTCTACGCCTTCAATTAACTACTCCGTGACCTAGAGTCAGCGCTCATCAAAATTGCATCTTCCATCGCTTTTGGCCCAATACTGACCTTTTGCAGAATTCCTCAAGATTGCAAGAACTACGAATAATCATGAATTTAGTAAATTCCTCCATTCTCCCGCTTGGACCCTCGCATTCTAATATCAACACTGCTGTAACACATGTTATAAATCATAGGCAGTTTCCGGTTTCTGGTTTCCCGCGACATAATCTTTTATTTATTACCCATAGAGTCAAATCAGCCAAAGTTACCGCACCTGTTTTGCGCCTGCGTAGCTTTGCGACTCTGGTTGTGTTGTTGAAACGAAAGGCAATTGATTGGTCAGATATTTTTAATGCTTCTGATGTAAATTTTATATATATATATATATATATATATATATATATATATATATATATATATATATGAAGGAATGTCAAAAGAAAGAAGTGACCAAATTGGCGATATATTGAAAATGAGCCAGGTTAAGAGTACCCCTAATCGACGAGGATGTATGCGTAGGTATATGGATGTAAAGGGGCGATATTGGTATGTCAGGACCGTACAAAATGGAAGTTCGTAGTCTCTGCTTACTCCTCTGGGTAACAGGCGTGAGTGTTTATGTATATGATTATGCTGATGTGTGTTACCCTGATGTGATTCAAGTACTTCTATGCTAATTGGATCGTTTGCTCAATAATTGCATCCGTTTTTTTTTCGATCTTCGTAAATACGGTCATGTATCCTTCGAACGTTCTAAGTTTAAATGGCTCTCTATCTATCGGCGTAGATGCATGAGAATACTTCGACACTAGTTTCAATCCTTTACAATCAAGTTTCAGTATTTAGGTTCTTCTCACGATCCTAACCTGCGATTCTCCTACGATACTTACTACCTTGTGTTTTTCCTCCTCTACCAAATTGACGTCTCAGTCTTTCGCCGCTAAGACCATAAAGCTATGGAATAAATTACCTTCACCTATTAGGAAACCGATTTCTGTTGCTGTCTTCAAGAAAAAGATGTCTGATCATTATCTTACTTCTTCCAGCAGCTAGCTTTATTAAATGTTTCTGCATATGTATGACTTGATATAATAAATTATTTAAGTTAATCTTGTATATATTGTTCGTATGTAAGTATGCTCGAAATTTGGTTATTATGTATAATTTAAAAATTACTTATGCTATGTATTAGGTATAGAGTATTAATATACTTTACATTAGGTTATTTGTAGTTATATATATTTATAAGTGCATTTTTACACGTATGATCTGTGTTTTTTATATGTATATTCAAGTATATATATTTTCATGTTTTTATGGAACCTGCTTAAGTTTCTAGAGAGCCTAAAAGTATTAAGTGTGCAAAGTTCAGTAAAGATTTTTAAAATAAATTGAATTAAAGATTTAACCTGTACTGTGGTAGTTTAAATACCAATTTACAAAAAGGTGATAATTAGGGTGTTGATATTATAGGCGTATAGAGAATTTATAATTAACTATTTACATACTAATCTTAATTATAATTTATAAGTTCTTACGGATGAAAAAGAGCGCGTGAAGTCATCAGAAGTTGAACAACGACTGCAACGAAATAGTAGGAAACGTCAACAATTTTGTGGGTATTGTTTTATATTATGTAAAAATTTATAGTCAAATTGACAATATCTGATTTTATAACTGATTGTTCATAATTTATTTAACAGTTATAAATCAAAAAGAAGAAAGACCAGTGGTCGAGCTGTTTAGTAAAAGTCGTAATAGTCCTTCGCCGGAATTTAATCAACAAAACATACCAACATATCAAACTGGTTTTTTTGTCAGAAGTAATAAAAAAGGTATTAAAAACCATTTGAGGTATTATTTTACAATACAATTGCACAAAATAAATATTTTCTTAACTGGTTATATAATTTTAGGTAATGATGTATTGCAGACGTATGATGAAAATACTGGACCTTTAGAAGAGCCTACAGCGACGGTACCACATCGAGAGGTTGATACTATTGTACATATGTTATACTATTGTATTGTAGTTATTCACATTGATCAAACAACACAGATCTGAAAATATCTCTAAATTCACGAAGTGTTATAGGTCTGAACCCGATTGAGTTGGTATAGGGAGCTATCAAGGGACAATTCACAAGATATGTATGTTATAGCAATTTGCATAACAAAAAAAATATGCAATGGAGCAATTATTCGCCGAATTCTATGTAGAAAATGGGAAAGCTAGTTAGAGATGTTCAGAAAATTTTAAACGAATATTGTCAACACGATTAAATACCTGATGATGTTATTGATCAAATGATAATTAATTTACAAGACGATTTTATCTCATCAAGATGCACTGAGAGTAAAGATAATTCAAGTGAGAAAAAAGATAGTTGCGAGGAAGAATTATATTTTTATATTAAATATTAATATGAAATTGTGTTGGCATAGTTTTTTTTTATATTATTGCGATATAATTATATACAAAAATAAATTAAATATTATAAATATTATGTTGCAAACCCACTTTATATTTCAGTCCACAGTTGCTAGATAAATTTGCATTACTTCATATTGCGTCCACCGAACATTGTCGCTAATATATCTTGGGTTAATTAACTACTTGTGCGCCGATTTCCGTTCCCGCCTACCTATACACTGCGCGTGCGGTCCAGAGTTTATCTATAGTTTTTGTTTTTTCCTACTTTTACTTGGTTAGTTGAAAACTAGTAGTCGTAAGATTGAACATACGATGATAAAACTATCTTATATAAACGATAACACTTAATATACATTTATTTGTTTATTTTTGTAGGGAGCAGTACATCGTGTACCACATCGCATTAAGAACCGCACACGTCGCTACGAGATGCCAACAGTCGCGTCCCGCATGAAACAAACCGGCGCTCGCTACTACGCCGCTACGACCAACACTACTAATATCCCTTTTGTGGTCAGCAAAAGCACTGCTCCCTCGCATAATATCGGTGTGAATATACAACAGGTAACTAATTATGTAATCAGCATGAGACACTTCTCATACAAAATGTAAAATGCATGGCCCGTCATCACATGTTTTTAAAAATAAAAACATATTCTGCTGTATTTGTTCGTTGTAGAGAAATGGTTGTAAAATTTTTAAGGACATTTATTTTAGTATAATAATGTCGGCTAATATTTCCAATATGGACCATCGATTTCAAAGCCCATATTTTTTTTGTAGATAGTACTCACTAAAAAAAAGCGTTTTGCAAAGTTTTAGGTTGCGGAAACTTACGGTTCATGAGATATATTTTTTTAAACTTTTCATACAAATTGGCAAATAACACGCAATTACACCAGTTACAAAATAAATTTGACAAATGATTGATGTCAAACGTCAATTAGTGTAGGGTTCCGAATATTTTGAAAGTATCAATACGTACTCGATACCAAGTATCGTATCAAAAGTATCAATACTACTTGGTATCGAGTACAATTCGTTAATTTTGGAGACTAGGGGGTAAGAAGCCGGGGAGCTCGACTACGCAGCTTCGGCTTTTTGGTCGCCTTCGGCGACCAGCCTCAGCCGCTACGGCGATCCCAGGTGCCTGTGCTTCCCTACGCTAGGGCGGAGGCACTGCTCATCCCGCAGCGCCGGAGCTGCCACGGAGCGCAACTTCCCGGCTTCTTACCCCCCCTAGTCTCCAAAATTAACGAAATGTACTCGATACCAAGTAGTATTGATACTTTTGATACGATACTTGGTATCGAGTACGTATTGATACTTTCAAAATATTCGAAACCCTACACTAATTGACGTTTGACATCAATCATTTGTCAAATTTATTTTGTAACTGGTGTAATTGCGTGTTATTTGCCAATTTGTATGAAAAGTTTAAAAAAATATATCTCATGTACCGTAAGTTTCCGCAACCTAAAACTTTGCAAAATGCTTTCTTTTAGTGAGTACTATCTACAAAAAAAATATGGGCTTTGAAATCGATGGTCCATATTGGAAATATTAACCATAATGTCCTCCAGACCGAATTTCACGTCACGACAGCCAACCTCAACGGAGATTAGCCTTCGGCGCAGGACAGGATTGCAGTGCCCAAGTGCATGCGCAAGCACAGGTGCACTCTCTATTCCCTCACTCTCATAGTCCGGTGGAACTGTAAACGACACGAGCGGAGAGAGATCAGGCGCAGGACCAACGGCTTTATGTGCTTTTTGAAGCACGGGGATCAGTCACCTTGACGGAAAAACTCAATAATAGATTTTTTTGGCCTAGGATTTGAAACCGGCACCTCATAATCCGCAATCGCACTGCTACTACCACTAGACCAACGAGGAAGTCGGTTTTAATATAATAGTATAATATATTGAATGCTTGTATTCAATATACTATTATATTGAAATAAAAATCATAGGTAGGCTGTAGTAATAATATCGAGGTACTTTTACAGTATTTTTGTCAATATTATTATAATATAGTCCATTGATGGATTAGAGCTTCTATTGCAGTAAGAAAGAATTGCATGGTCTTACGTAAGTTTGGTAGGCGTGTAATATGTTTTTTAAGTAATGTAGAAATGAAATATAAGACCGCAAATTTAAAAAATGCAATGCAAGTTTTTTTGTTTAATAATAAAAAAAAATAATTATTAACCTTTAATACTTTTGAAATTCCTGCTCTCCAGGTCCTCAATGGTCTTAAAACACAACAGCCTTTGTCAGGCATACCTTTGACTATTGCACATCATATGGGTAAGTAACACATTATATTCTAGATTAAAAATGCTCTTTCTCCCACGATTGCGTCTATCATCACTTCTACCACTAAACGCAATCATAGTCTAAGAAGAACAATTAGACAATGACGCAATACTAATATCTTAAGACACAGCCAAAAGGAAGAACACCATAAAAATTAAACACCATCCGCAACCACCGCCTGTAGGCTAGTTTCTTTGTCACCTCATTTTTATTTAAAAAAAAACTAGAACTTAATGGTACACGGCTGGCCAAAAGTTTTATCTAAAATCAGTTTACCAAAATTAAAAAGGCATAACATACAGACTATGAAGGCTATGAAGGTGATAATAACTAATAAAAATATGACAAACTAGCTGTCCCCGCGACTTCATCCGCGTGGAATTTATTACAATTGGATTTCGTGGGGTTTAATTTTTTTTTGTGAGGAACTCTATTTCTTTTTCTAAAATAAAAGTAGCCTAAGTTACTTCTTATGACATCAGCTATCTGCTAGTGAAAGTCCCATCAAAATCGGTCCAGCCATTTCGGAGATAGCCAGAATAAAACAGGCAGACGGACAAAATTTTTATATATATTTTATATATATATATATATATATATATATATATATATATATATATATATATTTTGTAAAAAGCTATCGTTGATTATTCGAATAAAAAGATAACTCGGATGGAAAGACTTTTGAAAAAAAGATAATTCTGATGGTCTATCAGCCTACATAGTTGTTAATTACGTAGAAAAAAATGATGAATGTGTTAAATTCTTTACGATAATAATAGGTTCAAAATTACGATGGAGTAGGTAGACGGAAAATCGTTCAAATGAACTTATTAATTTTAGAATTTTTGCTACATGACACGAAACTGCTCTAGCTATTATTTTCACTCACCTTCGTAGTATTTAAAGTTCCATAAAATTTGTTGATTCTTTATTTCAATCCATCACAGTAGGTATGTCTTTTTTATATTTTTTAATTATTTTGTAAGAAAAATTATAACCACTTGCGACAAAGTTCACGGGTCAGGCGAATGAGTATGTAAACAGATGTACGTATACAAATGAGCATTCGTTTGACTCGTGCGAAAAAACCGACATCGAGTGGAGAACAGGCCGAATAGCGACACCACCCGAACAAGGCGTTTACATGCTCGTATTCGTGCCTACTCGTCTGTGCTGGGCGAGTATCTAAACGTTACATAGAAAACGATACGAAAAAGGATTGAAAATAAACTCATGGACAAATTTAGAGGAACGCAAAAAAGGTTTGTCTCTTGTGATTATGTGCGACTGGCCACAAATATTAGTAAATGCTATTGAAAAAAATTTTAGAATGTTTTTGTTTCGAATTTCATTTCTTTTTATGTAATTATTATGTAATATTTCGTACTTTCATACGGAGAAAAAATTTGCCAACTTTGGAATTTGAGATTAAATTTAGGGTTTCTATAAAGTTATGCCTTGACTGCCTTGTTTATCGTGTTGTATGTGAACTATTACTGCAAATAAACTGAGAATGCCAAATATAAACACCACTCTAGTTGCTAGGGGTGTTACTTTAATTGAAACATTACAATTATTACGAATATCAAAAGGATAGACCGGGCAGTATACGGAACTCTCAGGACCTGTGGCCAGAGATGACCGATAAAGCTCCGTTCAGATCTACCAGCACGTAGCGTGCCCAGCACGTAACGTGGCAGACACCGCACAGACAACAGTTTTCGAATCTCGCGCACCCGGCAAACAGACGATATCGGGCAAACTATAAAGTGCACGTGCTTACCATATTCTGCAATTTTTCTGTAGAAGAACTAGCCTTGTGTCGGCGGGGCGATCACATTCATACTTGCCGCGCGACAACAACATACACGCGCAGACACGCACCAGCACAGACAAAACATTCTTTTTGAGAATGCTGGCTGGTGCCGCTAACGCTACTTGTAACGTGCGCTAGATGTGAATATATCTATATAAAGCAACGACTACACAGCCTGAACTGTGTAGTCGTTGATATAAAGTATATACAAGAATATTATTTTGTCTGCCACGCCACGTGTCTTCACGCTCAATGTCTGTAGTTCTGAATTCTGAACGGAGCCACAGAATAAATAATAGTACTACGACGGAGCTTACATCGTACCAGTGTGCGTGCTTTATATTTTGAAGATAAAATGAATGGTTTTTAGTAGCTACAATAATTAATGTCCGATTTATTTATTAAATTTTTATCTTTATGTTAATAAGAATTATGTAATTGATAATTAAGATAATAATTTACGTAATTTCTAAACATACCAATTATAATTGAAATTGTAATTTTATTAAAAATTAATTTTCATGTTGCTGTTGTTGCCTTCGATAAACAAATATTTGTATCTCTTTTAAGGCGAAACATAGTGTTACTTATCATACCTTTTCAACCAAGTTTGTTACTTTTTACCTATGATTTACAAATAAATTATTTGATTTGATTTAACTTCTTCTGAGGTTCGTAAGACTTCGTGGTCAATTGTAAATAACGAAATAGGTAATAATTCAAAAAATACTGACATTATTAATATAAAAGATAACAATACTATTTTAACTGACCCAACTGATATAGCAAATAACCTCAACAACTTTTTTATTAACATGACTCACAACAATAACATCAATAATAATATAACTAATAATAATAAACTTAAAACTAATTCTACAGAGCTCAAGTCAATGTTTCTAAGAGAAATGTCAGAAAAAGAAGTTAGAAATGCAGTCATATCTCTTAATAACTCAAAAACAACTGGCTATGACGGAATATGTACCAATATTATTAAAATTTCCATCGATAATTTTATAAAAATACTTACACATCTTATAAATTTATCCTTTTCAACAGGTACTTTCCCAGAAAAACTTAAAGTATCAATAATTAAACCGTTGTTCAAGAAAGGTGAAAAAGATGATGTTAATAATTACAGACCTATTGCATTAATATCAATTTTCTCAAAAATATTCAAAAAGTGCATGTTTTTGCGCCTTTCTGAATATTGTAATAAGATTAGTGTCATCAGTCCACAACAATTTGGTTTTCAGAAAAATAAATCTACTTCTTTAGCCACGTATACATTAATTAAATCCATCTTAGAAAGTGTAAATAATTCATATCTAACCACTGTATTGTTTTTTGATCTAAGTAAGGCCTTCGATTTCGTAGACCATAAAAATCTTCTTAAAAAACTGGAAAATATGGGCATTCGAGGAATTCCTTTGCAGTGGCTAGAATCTTATTTGTCAAACAGAAAACAAAAAGTTGAAATAAAAAAATCTCAATAACCAAAATGAACTGACTTCTTATTATTCGGATTTTAGGAACAACAACTTTGGCGTCCCACAAGGAAGCATTCTTGGGCCCTTGCTTTTTATTTTATATATAAATGATATTCCAAATATAACTACATTTAAATGTACTATGTTTGCAGACGATATTTCAATAACAATTGTTACTAACCCAAGGAAACATTCATTTAAAAAACATGAATCTGACATAAATGACACAATCAAATCAGTAATAGAATGGTTAAATATAAATAATTTAAAAGTTAATCTTACCAAAACTCATTATATTAAATTTGATAATTTGAAAACGAATAAGCTTGACATATATTACAACGAAACCAAAATTGAAGAAATGACGCAAACTAAATTTCTTGGCTTAGTAATTGATAGAAACCTTAATTGGGAGGCCCATATTAAGTCAGTGTGCGATAGACTAAATACATTTGTATATGCCTTAAGGTATATTAGAAAAGTCACTAACATAAATATAGCACTCTCGGTTTATCATGCTTATGTAGTTTCAATTCTGCGTTGCATGTCAATTATCTGGGGAAATGGTTCTCAATTAAACAAAGCCTTTATCACTCAAAAAAAAATGTCTACGAGCATTGACTCTTAAAGCGCCATTTGATTCATGTAAACCTTTATTCAAAAACCTTAAGTTATTGACATTGCCCTCGCTCTACATATATGTAATTTGTTTGTTCGTTAAACAACACAACCATCTGTTTACTAAAGCAAAAGGTATATCTTCTCGAAGCCATAGATACCCCGAAAAACTTGTAATCGACACACTTCCTAGATTATCTAAGTATAATAAAAGCTGTCTATATATGTGTGTCAAAATATATAATAAAATTCCTCAGCATATTAAAGCACTCTCTTTACCAAGATTTAAAAAAAGCCTCAATGATTTTCTTGCAGTAAGTACCTTTTATAGCGTCAAAGAGTTTCTAGATTGTAAATTTAACGAATGAACTGCTGTAATTTCACTGAGCATTGATATTCTATTCTATTTAAAAATAATTAATAATTATCCGACATCTTTCTTCTATTACGCCATTAGCTCTTGATAAAAAATTGAAGCCGAAACTTAATATATTTCATAATAATTAAATTGCAATTTATTTAAATTTTTGCTAATATTTTGATACAGTTTATGACAATATAGTAACATGTTGTACTGTATATGTATTCATCCGAAAATAAAAATCATCTCCTATTTTAACAATGGTGAAATAAAAAAAAAGAAACTGATCTTTTTGACATTAACATCTATTAATTTTTTAACAAATTTTTTTGATTTTTTGATATTTGACATTTATATAAACATTTACCTACATTTTATTTAAAAAATTGACATGTAATATTTATTGTAATCTAAAAACTTGACGCTAAAATATTTTTTGGATGGGTACATACCTAATTCATTTTCTTCAATAAGTTACTTAACTAAATTGTGTAGATATTTTTTTGTTTACTGTAAAAGATTACACGCCATTATCATGGTAGAATGTAAGGTCTCGTTAATAACTAATAACATCATATTATTATGTACTACATTCTAGCAATAAATAAATTTGAATTTGAATTTGAAAAAAAAATTGTGTTCTTGAGGTAACAAAGATCTAAGAAATTCGAGCGGCTCGAGTAAGCACAAAAACTGTGAGTAGATGACTGAAATCGATCGGAATATTAAAAACCACCCCGCTTCTTGTCACATGCCATCGAGTAATCGAGTTAATTTTGTTCGCAATCATTAAAATTGCAATGACGATGCTTGGTGTCATGTTCTATTCACATCTAAATCTCACAGTCTAAATTTTCCTTGACGCAAGATTATGGTAGAATTATAGTGTGGAGACGACGAAAGTGGTACATTCAGTGCAAAATTATTGACAAAGCGGTATATTGTGGAGGGTCAGTTATGGTATGGGGTGGTATTTGTATGGGAGCATGTACGGAACTCCGTACATGCTCCCGTACAATGGGAGAGTGGGTCACTAAAAACAAAAAGAGTGGCACAATATGTTACTGAGATTTTGGAACTCATGGTAATGCCATTTGTCACACAGAAGATAGATTTGTTTATAATTTTTATGCATGATAATGCACACCGTCATACTGCGGCCGTAGTTTTATCGAATACCTTCGAGACGTTTAAATCAATGTTATGGGGTGGCCAGCGCGATTACCCGATTTAAACCCCATAGACTTACAGCATGATGTATCGGATAAGCTTGGAAGATAAATTGAAACACATTCTGCCTCCGCTTATTTGAAAGATCTTAAAAACGCATTACAGGAAGAATGAAACGCAATCTCTCAATCAAGATTTTATTGATAACTTGTTTAGGAGTATGCCATAGAGACTAGAAACATTTTAAAAAGCTAGAGGGGGCAACACTAAGTACTGATATAACCCTCATTATTCCTTTCCTAAGCATTTATAAAAAAATGAATCTAATGTTAAATACAAAAATGTTTATTTCTTGTAAAATTTTTCTTTTTTCTTGGTTTAGTAAACTTTGTCATTTGATCGCTTGTTTTTCGACGCTTACAATTTTTAAATTCAAGAATAATAAGCCAAATCCAAATTAATAAACTTAATTGTTACAAAATTAATATCTATAATATTTTGTTTTATACGCCCTTTTTTGCGTTCTTCTAAAAAATTGTCCATAAGCGTAGTATAGAAATTACATTAGTTAGATGTGCGATGACTTTCATGTTGATTATCGTTAGTAGTATCGAAGGAATTAGTTTCTACTGTTGTGACTGTACTATGGAAATAAAGCCGTTGCTCAATTATAGCAAGTGTTATAGTTTTTTAGTTAATAAAATAGCTGAAAAATATTTTCATCTATTAATATCAATGTGGCTATAAATTATCGTAATAAAGGTGGTTGCTGTGACCCATAGACATCTACATCTATCCTCGATTGCGAATCAAAATGCAGTTGCGTTGTCACCCGTGAGGACTAAGATGAAATGCCTCGTTTCCAGTAAAAAGGGTCTCCGGTTCTCTACACTTAACATACGAAACACAGTAGCGTTAAGCTGCTATTTTACGCTGGTATTCTGTGAGAGCGTGGTCCTTCCCCAGTCGAGCCGACCTATTCGTGCTACAACTATACCAGTAATATAGCTGCAGTATGGCTCTACTACGTAAAAAATTGAAGCGATGACGATAATGATGGATATGAACTATTTTATTCTTTGTGTCTTTTGTAAAAACTAACTATTCTTCTACTTTTTCCATAAATAAAAAACGAAAAAATAAAAAACTATTCTCGTATTATAACAGAGTTTGGTGAATTGGTGAAATTTGGCCTGATCACATTACGTAATCTCCTAATTGTACACGTGTAATATGCGATAGAAAGAATTGTTTTAGATACTAATTATTTTATGTAACTGAACTGTCTACGGACTTCTGAAAATGTTGATATGTCTTGGTCATCTGTGACATTTAATCATAAGTGACAATTTGTTTCTGGTGTGTCGATTAATCAATAATATTGTTACGAGCTTGAGGTTCGTTACAATAAAAACTGCCGATTGAACTACCAAAATTTACACTTTTATTACCGAACACCAATTAAAACTTAAAATACTAATAATTAATCACACTGATTACTTTATTTCGCTCCGAAGCTTCGCTTGTCTCGCCAAATTCAATACTTGCCCCGTTCACGGCATGCGGCCGGTTTAAATACGCTTTTACGCCGAAACATCCAGAATATTCCCGTAGATACGGGCGCCGACCGACCAGACGCAGAAAGTTCGAGTGTGAGGCTTCTAGAAAGCTTAGTTCTTCAATTCGATACTAGATGGCGCTGTTGGTTAAAATATTAGTCATGTCATTTTCTGGAAAGCTCTCCTCGCTCTGTTACCCGACACTAGATGGCGCTAGTGCCAGACGTCAACTTCGGCGCGCAACAATATGCTCATTTTAACATATTTTTTAAAGAAATAAGCAGGTGGATTGTGCGCCCACCTGATGGTAGGCGGATGCTGTGGCACACACCGATATTTATCATCGATTAAGATTCAAAATAAAAATGCTGTCACTCCTGAGGACTTACTTGAAATGCCTCGTCACTGTACGAAACTGTACCACGCTACCATTTCGGGCTGGTATTTAGTGAGAGCGTGGTCTGTTCCCGGTCGAGCTGACTTACCCATGCCGCAGCAGCTATAGCTGCGGCGTGGCTCTACCGTGTTAAAAAAATTTAATAGTATTTTAATGGTATATTGCTCCATAGGTTTGGGTCACATTCCAATTCATGGATCGAAAAGCGCTCAAGTGGTATGTTTTTTTCACTTATAGTTATTACACAAGACCAAAAATTAAACTAGTCCCAGAGTTACATCATTCAACTTGTATAGATTTCAAGTAACGTATCAGCCTAAATATGTCCCAGTGCTGCAGAACTACTACGCTGCAAGCTGTCGTCTAGCAGCACCCTCCTACCGGCAGGTTGTGGACGATCTCCCACTAGATAAAGTGATGAAACAAAGTCGATGAATGAACATAGCTCTGGGTCTGGGCGAAGAACTCGACTTGTGATAGATGATGATGATTAATCTAAAATATAATTCATTAGTGGGTGTAGGCTTGCATCTATTTAAAAAGGATTTTACTTTTGTGAATGCTCCACGTGGCATCGCATTACTGAATGATTTGAGCCTTAGATATACCTACCTCACTTAGTTTACCTACTTTCTTTGTAGTTTTGATCCACTATTTACTCAAGATTGATAATTAATTAAATCTAGTACACTAATTGTTTTTATTTTATGGCACAGACGCCAATGTTGGAGAATCACGAGATCAACGCAATCAGGCTCGGTCGACGACTGCTACGCCTACCGACGTATAAGTATATGTCTTATAGACGTCTTCTGAACTTGTACCGCGAAGGTGATGGTATGGTTTCACGCTTCCTACGTGCAATCAACCGTCCTCATTACTTCTATACCTCTATGTATAAGTGAGTTTAAAATGCTTTCATTATTTTGAAATATTGGTTATAAATATTTATCTATTTATACATGCTCGTACGCCGTCGCCAATTTGGTCCATAAAGTTTTGTATTGAAATTCACCTTTTTTCCCTTTCATTAATTAAAATTAGTGTAAAGCAAGCTTGCCACCACCAGCCCTCAGTATTTTTAATGATACTCTAACATACTCAGCTGACTTACCTGCTTTCATGTTTGTCATGGCTTTTATTAGGCTTATATTCTTTTAAACTTAATAACAACTGTTCAGTTAGTATAGGTATACCAGAATTTCATGGCGCAAAAAATAAAGGTTTGCTTAATTTTATTCAGTTTAAGTATGAGTTGTGTCAACCATACTGAGCCTTTGTTTACTTTTAAATACCTACTTCCAACAAAAAACCACTTCGATCACATATACGTACTTCATAAAAAGCTGAAATTTGTGAAGGAGCAGTTGAAGATCTTCATCAGATTTGTATTTTGTACGCCTAGTAAAAAGAGGATATGTGGAGACATATGTGGGGATGTAAAAATATACTTAGTTCTGAATTAGAAATTATTAGAAATAAGATAAAGGCAATTTATAATTCTAGTATATTGTGGATAGATTAATATTGCGTATATCATACTTTACTGTACTGTACCTTCATAAAGATAATAAAATCAGTGTCTAACCAGCTAGCGTTTATTTTATTACAATGTAGCACGGAAAGAAATTACGATGGTAATAAAATTGTTATTGATTCATCAGAAAAAACTGGAAAACAATATACTGAAAAACGTTTTCATTCGAATTTGTAAAGTGCCAGTCAAAAAGGGACCCTTTTGTTGGAGTGACAATAATGTATATATGTATTAGTATGGGCAAAAAGATTCAAGTATTTGGAGCGTATGATGTAGAACCGTGAATAAAAGAACATGAGTGCTTGTGGTATATCTAGACGAAATTTGAATAAAGTTTCATGTTCTGTGAGTGACTGTAGGCAAACTGAAGATAATGCAGGCCGACCTTAAAGTATTTCGTCAGGGTAAGATCATTCCACGCTGGTGGAAAAAATAATTTTCTTTATATCTAGATATAAAAAAATATCACAGGGAAACTGTTTCCAAACTTATACAAAACCTTATCTGATTGTCTTGGATTACGCAAGTTATCATTAAGTAATGTTGAATAAACTATCTACAGAAATCTACGATGTGGCTGATATTGGACAATGACTTCGTACAAATCATATTCATAATGATGATCATTGGCGTTAATGCGAAATACCTGAAACAAAGCAACAAATTAAATCTGTCCCCATATACCCCATAAAAACAGATGAATTTTTGTAACCGCGCGGTCACATAGTTTTAATTCTGCCACCTTATCATTGCATATTAAATCCCATAGAATTCACTTGGGGAATAAAGCACAATGTTGCCGAGTAAAATGTGAATAAGTATCGTCGTCAGTGTAGTTGAATGGCTACATGTTCTCAACATATCGTAAAAAATTAAATGACTACATAATTCAATACTAATCATAAACACTTTGTCTTAATCGTCATCCTATGCCTTTGATGAAGAAAAAAATATACAAGTGTCTAAAGGCTTTTTATAGTTCTTAATGTATTTATTTCTACGATTTAATCAATATATTAATTAAGATCTTTATAAAGTAATACATTTGGTTTCATTTTGTTTCATAAATCAATACACAGATGCAATATCTCACATACATTTCTTTATGTTCCATAATACTACTAATGATTGATGTATAAAAATAAAAAGTATCGTATAGTTTGCTTTCTGTTAAAATTTGTTTCCCTATTTGCCATCAGATTCTGGTATAGTTATTAGTTACCGTCTTTTATTTTCAAAGTTAGTTTGAAGGAAATGTGTCAACTCAAATTTATTTCGTATAATCAACTCTTACCACAGCTCAGGAACAAAATACCGTGATAGTTTCCATTATACCTCTGCCATCACAAAACAAATGTAAAAAAAAGTGTTACGGTACGGTCCCACGTTATTTATGCGCCTTCAATAAACCAGTAATTTCGAAACTTTTGGATTGCAATCTAAATCCTTATATCGAAGATACTTACAAAAAATAACATATTCGCAGGCGAGAGAATGACAAAAGCAAATATTATTAATGTTGCTAGAGCTAAACTAAAATGATCTGTTGGAATGCCAACACACTATAAACGAAATTAAAATCACTAAGAAAGCAATTTAAAATACCCACCCTCATTTTCTTTAACTTTTTTGATCAACCCAAGGATTCAGCCTATTATCCTGCCAATAAGGGATTTAGCCCCCAAAAATATTGAGTCACAAATTATTTTTCTTTCGTCACTAATTGTTACCAATTTCTAACTAAAAATCATGGCCTCACACCGACAAAGAAAGATAGACGGAACGCTGTGTGTATTTTAAGTACAGCGAAACTTTTCCAGTCCGAGTATCGAACAAACAGTTAAGTTATCGTCAAAACATTTTTTAAATTTTAAAAAATGTTGTTATTTAGCTTGTGCAATTATATCCAAAAGTTTGTAATTTATTTTTTAAATAATTCTCATGTAAGTGAATGTATATTCTTATGAGAATAAAGATATCTTAGACCAAATTACTTGATGTTACGCGGACATGGTTTCAGTGGAGGCGGGGAACCGTAATCTTCTTGAATAGGAAAAGAGGTCGCTATCGTCTAATAAATTAGCGATCATTTAAATCTCAAGTGTACTTTAATAAAAGTGCTAGATCGGAAAAATTTAATTCACTGAAATACTTGTAGGTTAATTCATGTTTTTCCATATCATTTAAGTCTACATTTATTCGTAGCACCATAAATAGTCTAGATAAAATCGCTATATGCTTGATTGTTGCTATATTTATATTTCTAGTTAGGCATTATATAAATATTATTAACAATTTTCCCATTCTAAGTACAATTTACTAGTAAAAACTCGATCATAAATTAATTTTAAACTTGATTTATGGTATTAAGCAGCCTAGTGACAAATCGCGAGGACATTGACGGGGCGAGATCAAAGGGTCGCGGTGGCGACTTAGAAGTCAGGCAAAGCTTAGCCGAATACACCGCTTTATATCGAGAGTATGAACAGTTGGAGAAGAGTTTAGCAGCTGAATATGTCCCGGAACTTGCGCGCCGGCGAGATGAACTCCAAAGGGAGTTGGCTTCAAGAGAGGAACATATCCGTAAAGTAAGTTTTGGCTAGTATAACTTAAGTAGTAAAGAAACTATTATATCTAGCATCTAATAAAAATATTATCAAGAAATATTTAATGTAATTATAGCATGCAAGAAACTTGATACCGGCAACGCTAAGAAATGAGGAAATGAGGCAGATCGGCGGAACTATACTGTCAAAATTATTAAGTATTCTGTTTTTGTGGAGACAAGTAAAGGCGGCTACTCACTTGCCTGCTGCAGGGGCAATTTAGGGTGTACAGCGATCGGAGCGATATCAGTACTGTCTCTATTCACATGTCTGCCGTTCAATATGAGAGTGAACGTCTCGCTGGACACACGCTTTGAGAATGGCTCCAGTTTTATCGAAATTTCAATGTATCTTTGCTCTTTTGTTATCTTTAAAACACAAAATATGTTTCTACATAATATTATGTCCATTATAGACTTTGAAACCATCTAACCGATGTGCCCCAAACTAGTTTCATTAGAAAGTTAACAATGCGAAGATGGTTTTAGACCACTAAAACAATGCAGTAGGCACTATATAAAAGTTTATAAATAAAAATTTTACAATTAATAAACGAAATGTATTAATTTTTTTAGTACAGTACACAGTAGCACACGCCGAGTATCCACTAGTATAGAATAAGGGTGACAAACATACAGTCCACCTGATGGTAATTGGATACTTTGGATTATAGGCACCTACATTTACCTATAAAACTATTAATTAATTAATAATAACTAACAAAATATAATGCTTATAAGCTGCAGCGTGACTCTACCACTTTTAATGTACGTTACCATGTTTAAAAACGTTGCCATGTTAAAAAAATTGCCTCTGCTTGTGTACACACATCACAATTAAGGGTCATCCCCACTCCTATACCCTAGTTTGCCCCTGCGGCAGGCAAGTGAGTAGCCGCCTTAAGTTTATGAATGTTAGATATGTGTGTGAGTATAAATGTGTACACACAAACGTCCACTGGTTAGTTAGTTCGGCAAAACATTAGTTCTACCAACTAGGGTAGTTGTAAATATTTTTTATAAACTGTAATCAATAGTTCATATAAAATAAATCTACATAACAAGAATTTAAATTTTTTTAATTTAAATTAATTTATGAGCTTTATTATTCTGCGAAAACGGTCGTTAGATGAATTTGTGGAATAAATAGAATGTGTTGAAGGAGAAGAGTCGTCATCGCACAACCATTACCGCTTTTGTGGGTTTGGGCGTGATCGTTTTAACGTTGGTTAAGCTGCAAGACTAGCACACCCGTAGTGGTTACCAGTTTAGAAAAGTTTAAGAAAGTGGAAAAATTTGATAATATATATGTATTATATCACAAGGAAGATCGGCTTCAACATACCATTATGTATAAGAGATCTTACAGACCAGTCCGCCGAGTGTACAAATTTATTACCTTTATCCTGGGAGTGAAAAAATTGAACCGCTTATTCATAGAATAAGGGTGACAAATTCATCATCATTATATTCTACCGAAAGTCCACTGCTGAATATAAGTCTCTTTTGTAGATGCCTCATAGGAGAATATTTGTTATTGATGGTCTTCTTGGCGGGTAGGTTAGGAACTGCAGGTCTTTATTATTTTGAGTTTTTTAATGATTTCTTAAATTTACGCGAACACTATACATTGAATAAAATTATATTTACGGATTTTATCGCGTTTAATAACTTATTTTAACTTATTTTTAGTTCCCGACGTTTTGGGTGCTTCACAGCACCCATGATTACGGGTGCGATTGCGATGTTTGACATCCGAATGTCATAGTTAGCCCAGCTGCCTTCACTTTTTGAATATTAATTTTTGGTCCGATCTACGCAGAAACCCTCTCAGAAATGAGAGGAGGCCTGTGCCTAGCAGTGGGACGTATATAGGCTGTAACTTTACTTTACCTTACTACGCAGAACGAGTTTACAGTATCTTTAAGTCTTGCAGTGGTATGCTTGGGTTTGGGTTTAATTTTGTTAATTATAGATTCCCAAGCAGATGGCAGCACCCATTCATCTTCTCTATTGAAATTAGGATGTTTTTTAATTTCAATAGCCTCGCGTATCATCCTTGGTAGGGATCGGTGTTCTTTTGCGAGGGTCTGTGGTTTATCAAATCTGATGTAATGGTGGGGACGACCTTGAACATGTTCACAGACTGTCCCCACCATTACATCAGATTGCAACAAACTGCACTGCAAGACTTCAAGATACTGTAAGCTCGTTCTGCGTAGATCGGGACAAAAATTAATATTCAAAAACTGAAGGTTTCCTACCTGTGACCATGGGTGCTGTAAAGCACCCGAACCGTCGAGAACTAAAAATAAGTTGAAATAAGTTATTAAACGCGATAAAATCCGTGAATATAGTTTTATTCAATTTAGAGTTATTATCAGGAAGATGCTGCTGACAACTCTGGTTTCAATATCTTATTACCTCAAGACTGAACAAAAGAATGCGAGTGTGAACTGCTGAAAATGAGTAGTTAAAAAGATGCGAATTCTGCCAATTCGCACGAAGAACCTTAGTGCGAATTGGCAGAATTCTCTTGCACTTTTAATATTTTATTAAAAATGTATTAATTTGAGGAATTGTTATGCAACTTTTCTCATGAATTTTCTTTTAATGTCATGACTGTAGTAAATCTGCTCACAAAATTTTAAACTTACGTAATTTCACTGAAAAGTATCTGTAGCCTCAGGTTTAGATTGTAGAAGTGCACTGCATCTGAAAAACCACAGCTTTATAATAATGGTCATTTTAATAAATGCAGGTGGTAAAAGACTATGAAAATACGGGTGAGACAGAACCATCGATGTTACGTGCGTCTGCTTCAATAGCTGAAGAAACCTACCGTCACTCTACTTTTAAGCTGAACTCGGGTGATGCTTAGCCTAAATACATTTAAGATTACATTTTTATTAAAAGAAAATTCAGTGTATTAAATTAACTGTTCCGAAAATTCTAGTTGTACAAAACGTAAGGTTAAAACCTTAAAACGAAGGAATAAACATGCAAAGTTTAAACTTATTTTTGATATTAATGACAAGAGTAATCAAGACAACTCCAGTTCAGTGTCTTTAAATAGTACCTATGATGAAGACCTATGCTTTGTTTTCCCCCCTTATAATTTTATATATAATGTTTCCAATACTTGAAATGTAATCATAAAAAATCCATAAGTATTCATGGCTGAAATCAAACAAGATATTACTAAACGTCTTAGAGCGTAAAGTACCTATTTTATAATTGTTTGAACCTGCTTAGTGTTTTTTGAGCTCAGTTTTGTCATTTCGTTATAGCAATATTATAATAATGCGTGAACAACTAAAAGCTTACAATTTTAATGCATTAGTTTTAATATAGGTACATAAATTATTGTGTTGAATGTATTTATTTATTATTGTTACATTGCAGCAATATTTGTCAAATAAAAATTTCTACGCATACAGTAAGTCGACATTTTATTTCTTAAATAATTTAAGTAATAAATCAAACATTATTGCTAATAAAAGTTGTCTACTTAAAAGCATTATGAGATTTACATCTACATGGCATGCACGTTAAAACATTCAATAAGATTTTGCAGCGTAATTAATTGTTCTAAGAATAGTTTATCTATGAATAAAATATTTTGTTACATTTTATGATATATGAGGTCTTTCGACATAATGTTTTACATTTAAAACTTTAAAATAACAATATTTTTTTTATTTACACCAAGTTAAAACATCAACAATAAAACTACGAGCGACAATAAAACTTATAGCTAAATTAGTTAGGTAGATGAAACTTACTGAATTCTTAACTAAATAACCATTTAATAAGTTAAAGGCGCAAACAAATGAAGGATGTTACTCTTCTAAAGATCATCAGTACGATACATAACATATTATAATATTGTATACAAGTTGTATACGAGAATTTCAATTTATGTAATACAAGGAAAAACTTTATTAAAAATAAGAATAATTAACAAAGAAATATTAACCTCCTGTCCCGACTGAACTAACGCGTCTTACATTTTGTGTTTTACACAATACGCTTTACACGTTATCCGTAGGATAACTGTACTTGAAACAGTTAAATATTAATTTTCCTAATATTAATACTATCCTGTTTCAGTACCTATATTAAAATGATACAACTGCCAGTATAGTATTTTACTAAAAATATAGGAAGCATGGGGTCATCTGCAATAAAAGCCGCCTTTGAACGTTTTAAAGGATTAAAACTAGCTGGCGGCTTTCTAGTAGAAAGAAAAATCAACTTGTTAATTCTCGGCTTTAACATTTATTGTTTCTTTATTTTATTTTTAATACACGATAAACCCAAGTCTTTGTCAACAACAATTTTAATTTGTTACATAATTGTGGAGCTCCTTTGGTCTAGGGGACTGTTAAGGAAATTAAGGGGAAATTAAGTAAAATTCGTCTTAAAGGACGGAGCACCCATTGCCGGTATAATGGAAAGTAAGAGCCAGTAGGTATACTGCGTAACATTTCACCTCACTCTTTAGAGGTGTGGTTTTCAGTTTGTAGTTGATAGCCTGTCCATTGTTCTGGTCACCCACTAACTACCGTAAAACAACCTGCATGTTTCAGATATTTTAATATTTCAGAGGCATATCGAGGTAATTACTAGTGATATATTGCATTAATTGTTATTATTATATTGATATTTTTTGTTAATTCAATACCTATGTATATATGTATTTAACCTCATTACTCTTTATTACAACCTTTTAAATAATTTGCAGTTCACTCGTCGGAAATGCAAAATCGATGATTCGAACTTTTATCATAATTGATAAAGGCTTACTAATCCTATTAATCAATTATGAAAAGGGGAAGTACTTGGTTAAAATTTTTATGCCACTTCTTACTTAGCAAATTCCAAATTGACGTGTAGTCTTGATTTACATATGTAACAAAATTATGTTCGACTTAAATATTTACAATCATAATAATAACATGTTGTATATCTTCATACTATATTAATGTAGGTCACGAAAAAAAGCAAAGAATAAGGCTTATCTTTCTTTGGGTTGTGAATTATTTAAAATTAATAATTTATAAAGTTTTTACATTACTGATACTTATAAATGGGACTTTAAGCTTAGCGTCAACCTATAATAAGTAAACAAACATACAAGATGTGACGAAAATATAATAAATATATTTGTATCGTAATATATTAAGCGGCACAGTTATCTACTACTTCAAGAGAATTTCTTTAAACATTGATTTTGAATGACCTACAAAGATTACCTACAACAAAGTTTCAGTGGTATATTGTAAGCAAAATGTGTTCATTAAATATTATGTAAGGGTTAGTCCCTGTGTATAGGAGCCATATCTGCGATATTATATGAAATAGGAATATTTAAATTGACTGTACTATACTGAAATGATCAAAAATATATTTGCTGTGTAAGTGTGTGTGTGTAAGTAAACAAATTAATTGCGCGTGTCGGTGGAGGATGGCAGATTTTCGCCTTCAGGCTTGTGTCGAGCGTGAAGATAAGCGTCGGGCAAAGCAGGCCAGTCGGACGGCGTCCACTCCGACGTAGAAACTTCGGCTGGACGCTCCGCTGTCTCCGTCTTGTTGCACTCCAGAGGCAGCGGCTTTGGTGTTGCAATCCTGACACATTTGCATTTAAATACAATGTATATTTCTTTTATAACAATCGATTTTTAATTAATCGCATAGCGTAAAAAATATATCTGATTTTTAGAAAGTAACATTTACCGACTAATACGAGATGAACAAGCAATAGTACATCAACTTCACATTTGGAAGTTGTAATGATTCCCACAGAACTTTTTTCGCCTCGCATATTATGTTGAAAACAATAAAAGATAAAATTTTATTTGAAAGTTATAATGTATCATTCTACTTCAATTAATGTATTATCATTCCGAATTAAAAAATATAACTCTTCTAAATTTAAAACGATATTTTCACAATAATTTCTTCTGAATAACAAACTTGGTCCAATCATTTCATTTCATACAGTTATTGCATAATGAATAATAGCTGATAAAGTTTCCATTCAATTCGGTTATATAACAGTCACCAAATGGGAAGTGGATAATATGGGTAGAAAAACTTTCATCTATTTAAAAGAAAAGAATACTTATTTTAATATTTTTCTTAGAAACTGGTAGAATAAAATTTTGATTTTAGTAGTAGAGCTAGTGACGTAATTTACAAAAATATTTAGGGAACTCAAATTTTGTTTTATAGTTCCTTTATACAGAGGTTGTCCGATAATTAATGGATAACCCTGCAGGTAATATGTAACAGTCTGGAAAAAATTATTCTTTTAAAGTATGAAATTTGATACTTTCGTTCACATCCTACATACTAGTTGTAGAGTACTACGGCTACAAATTCATTAATAAGCAATTGATTTTCTCTGGGTTATTCCCATGAATGTTTGGCCTTGCAATCACGTATTACAAAATCTAGCCGTAAATGATTTTTTAAATACTTTAAAATAAAATTTGGTAATTATCGATTTTACAATAGCGAATTTTAAGCACCTGTGATATGAAAAGAATCGTATGGTGATCAGTGTGACTGATAGCTTAAAAACATGCCTACTTTAGGCAGATTCTAAAATTGTAGTAAACTCAATTTTTTGTTACCAAATTACTAAGTAATCACTATTTACATCCCGGATGGATGATTAATATATAAAAATAATATTTAATAAAGTTATAAAAATCACTTGCAATAAATTATATTTCGAGATGCTAATTTTGTTGAGTTACTAATTATAGGCCCATTCGAATTGCTTAAAACCTAGATGGACCAGCGTATTTTAATTTTTTACAAAATGATTTACCTGTTCTCTTAGAAGAGGTGTATTTGACGATCCGTCTCTGATCTGATCACGCATAGTACGCCGAACAAGCTTCCTATGTATTATAGTATTCTATGTTCCTAACAGATGGATCAGCCATTTAAGACCTCTTTTGTGGCAACCACGATCGCCCAACCTAAACCCACTAGATTTTTTTATTGGGGCTGCTTAAAAGAAGTCTACAAAAACCCAATCGCAACAATATAAGAACTGCGTCAACGTGGTTTGGACTCGGCTCGAGAAATTCGAGAGCACTTGTATTCGCGGCTATTATATTATATATATTATATTTATAAGATGTAGAGCCTGAATTACAGTAACTATTTGATTATTTATTGTAAATAAATAACCGATATCTAATTTTGGTTTTAATTATTATTACACACCAACCACCAACCCCATTGAAACACAGATTACCGAAGCAAATGTCTTATTTTTGAATCTTTTTATTTTAAGAAAAATAAGACTACAGAAACATAGATGGCAATAATTCAGTAATTGGCCAACAACAAAAAAAGAGTTTATTGCTGTTTTAGAGTTCGAATAAAGTAGGCACGTTTTAGGGAATTGACCACCATAAGTTTTTTTTAATAAAAGAAGGAGTAAGCGAGCATGGGGCTCACTTGATGGTAAGTATCGACCTCCAGCCAAGCTTAAAAGCTTTAAAGGCCAGCAACGCACCTGCAATTTTCCTGGTGTTCAACCAGGAACCAATTGAAGGTGCGTTGCTGGCCTTTAAAAAAAGAGTAGGCTCTTTTCTTGAAGGTCCCTAAGTTGTGCGAGGAATAAAATTTCTTGTAAATCACACGGTGGGGGACCGCCAATCATCCAGATGGAACGAGTTTTGAAATGTTTTTTTATGCCACAGGTGCTCAAACTTCGTCATTGTAAAGTTGAAAATTATTTTTTTATTTTTAATTATTTAAAAAAGTTACAGCTTGAATTATTTCGTAATGCGCGATGGCAAGGCCAAACATTCAAGGTTATTTCCAGAGAAAATCAATTGGTTATTAATAAACTTG